CTGTGTGTCTTCTCATTGACAAAAGAGATGAGTTTGTTCTTAAAAGTTGTAGTAAGGGTTTAGCAAAAACAATGAAGTGTTTGTTTCAAGCTGACACCGAACTTTAATGAGCCTGTTCAGGAAACTATTTAACTCACTGACGATTTTAATGAGTTCTCAGTAGTAAAGGAAGTCTTGATAGTCGGCAAACGCGTCAAACTGATTCTGATCCTTGGCTGAATAACCTCCAAGCTTCTTTTACTTGAGCTTTTCCACTTTGTATTCTGTGTGGGCTGTAATAATTTTGTTGTCTAATATGGATGTGCTATAATGACCTTTGTCAATTCTTCTTGTTTTAATTTTTATCAAGTTTTTCTACAAAACTTTGAGGAAAAAACTGAATTAATTATGTTTCTTGTCGTACCACACGAGGAAAAAGGATTCAGAAAAGTTGTCTAGTTTTTCAAACAAACATTAGTCGAACTATAATGAGCCAGGTGAAACTGAATTAAGGGCTATTTTAATACATTTTTAGATCTTAATATGTTGTCTTTGCAACAACGTTTCCCTGCTAGCAGAGGTCTCTCACGACGAGAGACCTCTGCTAGCAGGGAACAACAAAGTCTGCATGACGTTTTCTTCATCAACATCGCTGTAAGTAATTCGGCCAATTCAACACAAGCTGCATGCAAATATGCTTGAGTCATAAGAATTTCCCTAGCAGAGCGCAATACATGTGAGTTATTAACCGAATTCAGATGGCTGGATAAAGAAACTTGGCAAGGGCCTTTAGGTTTTGAGTCTGTTATGAGAAGCAAAACGCGCGCTGTTGAAAACTTTATAATGACGTCTCGTTTAGTAAATATTCGACTGGGCGATACTTATTATATACATGTATAAACTATTTCAACATGAAAGTCAATCAATTAAATTGCTAATCGTGGGCGGCCAGCCTTGACAGACGTTTGCATAGAGTTTACTTGTAGAAAGGAAGTCTTAACAATCCAAACATGGCAAACTGGTTTGTTTATAACTTTTGGGTCGGTTGAGACAGGTTTCGATTGAGTGAACCCCATAACTATCAAAGCTTATCAACAGTAATTAGGTATAAAATAAAGATATCCCCTCTAACTTGCAACTGAGAAAAATTTTCTGTAGAATAGTTTTGATTGTACCTCATGTCTTTTTTTAAACGAGCGTCCCTAATCATTTTAAACACCTGCCGACTTCTTTTTATGTCATCATATGTTTTAAAGCCCAGTATATAAAAATTCACGACACATATCGATTCTTGTTATTTTATTCGTATTTTTAATTGTCCAACTCCGACATCTGTTACTAAAGCAAAATAGCGATATCCATAAGGACACACGTTTCGTTTAAGTGAACGAAACCCCATAACTATAAATAATGCTCGGGTATAAAATAAAGATATTCACTGTGGCAACAATATTTTTCTACTAATTTTGATTATCACCTCAATTTGCCTTCTTTTAACAAAGCGGCCCTAACCATTTTAAACACCTGCTTGCTTTTTAGGTTAATATACAGTATGTTGCCTAGTATCCGGACGGTACCAGTATCCACCCACTTGAAACAAAAACTCAATTTTTGAGGCGCCCTTTTCAGTTCTCGGTAAACGAAGTATTTCGAATGAAAGCTGAACATTTCAGCTTTAAGAAGAACATTTTTGCGATTTGAAAGCTTGCGAAACAGTCGCAGAAGACGCCGTTCTGTTCAGGTGAGTAAACTTTTCATGGCTAATATTTACGCTGTTTACTGCACAGTAAAATTAGTGCTGCTCAGAAAAGGGAGGGTAATGTGTGATATTTTCAAAGAAACTATTTTATTTTTAACGTGACGATACTTAAGGAAGTCAGGTTTTCAGAAAGTTTATTAATTCTTCTTGAAATTCGATTTGTTTGGAATAACGGAGGCCAGAAACATTCACTAAGTATTGATGTCAGGTGCCCATTATCCGCACAGTTTTTTATTTGCTGTACAGAATCGATGAATTAGCTGTGTACATTATCCGGATAAGATTTATTTCAAATCAGTAACTATAATTAAAGCTTAGGATATATGATATAGTCGTAAAATGTAATTCTACTCAACTCCGTATGGAAATTTTCTTCACTCATTCAGAGGCGACTTGATTTCATGTGCACCGCTTGTTTCGCGTGACTGCATTTACTATATATAACCGAAAGCGTCTGAGTTGAACCTGGAATTCTCATACTTTCCCCAGTTGTGACTACTAGAATGGGGTTACAACGGTCTGAAAAAATGTCACAAAGGGATTTAGAGATGAGAAAGAAGGAGGAATTAGTGCTAGAAAAGCAGGCTTATTGTGGGGACTGAGCATGAAGAAATCAACACCCCAGGTCCGAGACTAAATAGGAGAGTGATCTTTGACCGTCGGATTGAGCTCCCTTCCCCACGCTTTTTTTAAATAAAAATGAAGAAAAAAAGTCGTTTGCAGATTGGCTAATTGAGCTCGAAAACTGCGTCTTCGGCATGTCCACAGATGCCTTCCTTTAATCAGTGAAAAAGTTCCTAGACGAGGAAGTGTTAAACTGTCTTTCGTCATATTAAGGACTAAATAGATTTTCTCTGGGCCAAATTTCAGAGCTCTTGCGATTAACAAAGGAAAGTTATTGCAATCTTAAACTGAAGTGTCCGGATAATGGGCAACATACTGTACGTTTTTAGTCGAGCAAATAAATTTTCGACACTCAGATTCTTGTTATTCGTACTTTTATTCGTACGTTATTCTTGCGAAATATCGACTGTTCGTATTTTTCTTTTTTCAGCCGCTTATTTATAACAATTTATTATTGCTTTTTGCAGCCCCAGACGAAGGATAGTATTATCAAACCAAAATATCGGGCAATTAAGCAATACCCTGTCTTTTGGCTGCCAGCTTGCAATTGCTTTTACGTTTTATTCTCATTACTGATCCTGATCAACACCAAGATCCGACTTTACTTCGCGGTCGTTTGTCCAAGTGGGTGTTGTAACATTGAAACCTGAGGGGATCCCCCTAGAGGCCCCTGACTGACTTACATGCGCACCCCGAAAACGAGGAACCGCATGCGATGTGTTTTTGACTTGCTTGGGACACGTCTGTTCGGTTTTCCTAGCTGAAAGTCTAGTGATCCGAAAATAATTGGGATAAAAAGTTACCTTTTCGAAAATTTCAGCCAGAAAAAAGGCTCATCTTCGAACAGATATTTTCCGAAAATTGACGTTGGGTGCCCCTGACATCTTAGAATAGTCTTCACCAGTTGTTGAATTTAGCCTCATTGAATGATCTTATAACATGGCGTCAGAAGTGGGATAACAGTGGTTATCTGCCCTGCCGAACTGTGATAAATTATTGGACGAGTTGATGGGACAAACAAGTTTCCTGTTGAGTTGTATTTTTGTATCTTGTATAATGGCCGAGCGAGATTCTCGAATGCCCGGTCCATTGCTCCTAGACGCGAATGCTGCGGAGAACTGGAGGAAATTTTTCATGCAATTTGAGATCTCCCTTGTTGCGAAAGGTAAAGATGATAAAGCGGACAAACTGAAGGTAAATATGTTGTTGGATTGTGCTGGACCAGATCTAGAAGCTATCGAAGAGTACAGTCACTTTGTGTTTACCGATGAAGAAGACAAAGATTGCTATCAAGATGTCTGTCGCAAATTCGACGAATTGTGCCAGGGTGCTAGAAATGTAATTTATGAGCGACTGGTGTTTAATCAGCGAAATCAGAAGGAAGGTGAGAGGATTGAAAATTTCTTCAGTGAACTGAAAAGACTGTCGTTAGCGACCTTCGAGATCCACTCATTCGTGATCGTATTGTTGGAGGAGTTTTGTCAGACGAATTGCGAGGTGAACTGCTGAAGAAACCAGATTTAACGCTGCAAACTGCTCATGATTGCCGTACATTAGAGGCAGCTGAACTACAGAAATACAAGTTTAGTACACCAACAGTTGCGGGTTGCGAACGTTCACTTCACCCTCTCAGGTAGGTCAAGGTTCAAGAAAAGACACCTGCTCGTAACTGTAAATTTTGTGGTTACAAGCACCCATTTACTCAGCCACCTCGCTGCCCAGCTCTTGGAAAGAAATGCAACAAGTGTAAGAACGAAGGACACTTTGCACAAGTGTGCAAAGAATTAAGTGCTGAAGGTTCACAACTTGCAACTGTGGAACATGAGCCTCCAATGAATCACGATGTGCACACATTTTTTGGATCAGTTGAGCTGGATAGTATCTCCGGCACTCGAAAGAAATCTAGGAGCTTGATTGCTGTCAAAATTGCTGGCAAAGAGCTGTACAAGGAAATCACAAACAAACCTCTTCAGAAACTTCAGCAACCTTTGAATTGGTGGCTTGCGCCTAAACCCATCCATCCAAAGTGTTCTGTGAGGTTTCCAACTCGATATGGGAGTCGTTAACTTAACCTCTTGCATCTTGTTGTTGATGGAAATTTTACACCATCGCTGGGTTGTGATGCTTGTTTAGACTTAGAAGTCCTTGAGTTTATGACCCTTGAACTGATAACTACTCCAGAGTCAAAACAACCAGAGCAAAAAATGCCAAGTTTCTTCCTAAAGGATCCTGTGTTGCAGGATTATAAAGATTGTTTTAGTGATAAACCTGGCAAGCTACCTAACAAAGTACATTTGGAAGTTGATCCGTCAGTCCTCCAGTAGTCCATCCTCCCAGAAAAATTCCAATTGTACTTCTTGAACCAGCACGAGAGATGCTCACAGAGATGGAAGAAGATGAGATTATTGTTAAAGAAGAGGAGCACACCCCTTGGGTTTCATAGTGATTGAAAAACGAAAAGTGAAAGAAAAGAACACTCCACACTCGAAGAATGATGTTCGAATTTGTATTGACCCAAGGGACCTAAACAAAGCTCTCAAGAGACCCCACTATCCAATGGTTACCGTAGAGGAGGTTGCCAAACGATTATCGGGTGCAAAGAGTTTCATGTCCCTTGATGCTTGCAGTGGATACTGGCAGCTCCCAGTGGATGACGAAAGCTCTAAGCTCTTAACATTCAATACCCGTGGGGTCGATATCGATTTACAAGGTTCCCTTTTGGCATCTCTTCTGCCCCTGAAATCTACCAAAGGGAGATGGACAAACTCTTTGAAGGGGTTCCTGTGGAAATTATAGTGGATGATTTCCTGATTCATGGTAAAGATCAAACCGACGCTAATCAGAAGTTGAGAAGAGTACTGGATAGAAGCAGAGAAGTAGGACTGAAGTTCAATCTAAAGAAAGTGAAACTTCGTGTTCCTGAAGTAAGCTATGTTGGACATGTGTTCTCGTCCGAAGGATTGAAACCTGACCCTAATAAAATCCGCGCTATCAGTGAGATGCCTCCTCCTTCTGACAAAGAGGGTGTACTTCGAATACTAGGAACTGTCAATTACCTAGACAAGTTCATTGAACACAAAGCCAATCTACAAGAGCCAATTTCACAGCTTACCCAAAAAGATGTCGCATTTGTGTGGGAGAAACCACAACAAGAGGCTTTTGATAAGCTCAAGTCTGTCATCACTAGTGCGCCGGTGTTAGCACACTTTGATAACAGCAAAGAAACGGTGCTAAGTGTTGATGCCAGTAGCACAGGCCTTGGTGCAGTGATCATGCAGGAAGGTAAACCAGTTGCCTTCAGTTCAAAGACATTGACTCCCCCAGAGAAGACGTATGCAAATACTGAAAGAGAGCTGTTAGCGATTGTATGGGGAGCACAAAAGTTTCACACATATGTGTACGGGCGCAGAATTATTGTTGAGACAGACCACAAACCGCTGTAGTCAATCTTTCGGAAACCACTGAATGAGGCCCCTCCCAGGCTACAGAGGATATTGCTGAACTCTTTAAGTATGACCTTGTGGTGCGTTATGTTTCCGGAAAACAGCAGGTCATTTCAGACTGCCTTAGCAGAGCACCTCTCAGTGAAACTGAACCGTTCAATGAACTTGAAGATGTCATCGGAGTTGATCTTGTTGAGGAACTTGGAGCAGCACCCTGAAGAGGTTCACGGACAGCTCAAGTGCTGATGAGACATCAAGAGTGGTGATGGAGTACGTTTTGAAAGGATGGCTCTCTGAGAAAGAACAAGTTGATGCACTTGCCCGGGAATATTGGAATTTCAGAGAAGAGCTGAGTGTTGAGGATGGCATGTTATTTAAATCAGAGAGAATTGTAGTGTCAAGACCATTGAGAGCTGAAGTGTTAGATGAAATCCATGGAGCTCACATGGGAGAGAGCAAAAGCCTTTCCTTTGCGAGGGATTATGTTTTCTGGCCTTCCATGACTGCCCAAATCAAAGACAAAGTCAGTTCATGCGCCGTGTGTAATGCGTTCTGCAACCGACAACAGAGAGAGACACTTCATCCTCATTACATTCCGGGATTACCTTGGCAAGTTGTTGTGACTGATCTGTTTGAATATGGTGGCCAAACGTACCTGTTAGTCTCTGACTTCTATTCGAAGTACTTTGAAATAGAACTCCTTCGCCAGAACACTTCCATTTGTGTCATCAACAACTTGAAGAAAATATTTGCAAGGTTTGGAATCCCAGAGAAAGTTGTCAGCGACAACGGACCTCAAAACAGCAACACCAGAAATTTGTTCAGCAACAACCATGAGTTCAAGAAATTCGCTGAGGAGTGGGAATTTTCCCATACAACCAGCTCACCAGCGTATCCTCAATCAACTAGCGCAGCAGAAAGACCTGTACAGACCGCAAAACGCGTTCTTAAGAAGGCTGCCGCAGAGAACAAAGATCCATTTGAGGGACTGTTAAAGTATCGCAACATCCCATTTGAAGATATCTGTGTCACTTGCCCAGCTGCTGATGAGTCGACGCACTCGAACAATGATACCAACTCATCGACGTCTCTTGTTACCTCAGGCAGTGGATCGTGGTCATGTTCTGAAAAAGCTTCATCAGCGACAGCATAATGCCAAGTCTAATTATGACAAGCAGAGTAGAGATTTGCCTCCACTGGAAGTTGGAGACAAGGTGCGGTTTCGTCCAAATGGTGAGAGGGAATGGCGGAAAGCTGAAGTAATGCCAAGATCATACATGCTGGAAGATGAATATGGAGGTGCTTACAGGAGAAATAGAGGAAAGATCTTCTCTGTTCCAAATGATTCTCCCATGACCCCAAGGACAAGGGCTTCTCCTATAAGTACCCAACCTCGTGACTCTCCTGCGAGTACAAGACAGCCACTTGTATTTGAGAAGCCAGTGCCAAGTCCAGTGACACTAGAGAGACAGACACAAACAATTTCACAGACTCCCATTACAACCAGATCTGGGCGTCAAGTTAGGAGGCCGCAAAGACTCATTGAATCGTGTTAGGGGGGAGATGCTGTAACATTGAAACCTGAGGGGATCCCACTAGGGGCCCCTGACTGACTTACATGCGCACCCCGAAAACCATGTGCGTTGTGTTTTTGACTTGCTTGGGACACGAACATGTTAGAATAGTCTTTACTATTGGGGCCCCTTATTTTAAGACCAAACTGAGCCCGTCTGGATGACCGTCCCCCCCCCCCCCACCCTTATCTGAAGGTCTGTCTCCGCCACTGATGTTTACAATTTTTTTTTAAAAGCAAAGACTTCGCTTGTTTGTTTTTAGTTTTAATGTACTAACAGAAGACTGTTAGACCATAAATGCGGCGGACCATATTTCATTTCCAGGGACCATAAAGAGGGGGGTGGTGGTGGGGAGGTTCGCGTAACCACCGCTGAAATCAAGGGTATCCAGAGGTATTCTCCCCCGGAACATTTTGGAACATTTTCGATTTCCAGCGTTTTGAGGTGCATTTGCGACATATTTTATAGCATTTTGCTCATTGTGTTAAAGAGAAAACTGATACACACAACATATAATTCGTAATATAAACTTAACGTTTTACAGCCGAAGAGCTGGATAAATTGCTAACACGAACTCATTTTCTTAGGGGGAAGCAGTGAAACTAGAGTTCTTGGTGACTTCGTTTACAAGCGAGTTTAAAACTTGGGGCCTTGGAGAAAAAAATTATTATTTCTTAAAGTTTGTTCTATGATAGGGTAGACAGTACGACCTGGGAATTTTTACTATTTTAAGAGTGAGAGTTGATGGTAGTTGAGGTCAAGCTGCTTTAATTTTCATACAAAAAAAAATACCTTCTTTGGAAAATTATAACAGAACTTTTGCCTGTTTTCTCTTTCCTTTTCTCAGATCGACATTATTACGGGTCATACCTAAGATGAGCAGTACAGCAGTTATTTCCTTTCTTGGTATTGTCTTGGTGTTTGGATCACTGAAGTGTAACGCTAACAAGACAGATCTTTATATTCTCCAGATGGTTGCATCATTCGACAAGATCCCCTGTAAAGGGATGACACTTGCTTACGATGTTGCTAAGAACTCTTCTTCTTTCAAATCATTCTTTGAAAAGTATGAAATTAAGATGAATTGCTCTTTGACTTTGGTAAGTTCGCAACTCGATTTATAGGGGCGAGCTTCAAGTTTCCCGTTTGACAAAGGCCGACGCCATTTTTGTGACATATTAGTCAGAGAGATTCAGCATCGCGTTTACGGCAAACGTGAGATTCAAGTTGAGAAATTTTCAACGTGTGAAATGAGCAGATAAAAACAGCTTAAAACAATTTTCATGGATAGAATTGACGTGAATCTACCGATTTTCGTGTAGTTATAATGAACAGTAATCGACAAGTAAAAGGCGAAACTTGGTCACTTGGTACAACCTCACGTTTGCCGTTTGCCGTATCTCTCCAGAGAGTTTTAGATTCGAGTTTACCGCGAAGCTCTAACCACGGTTTGCGGTTACCCGTTTGCGGTTCGACGTTCAAACATAATTCGATTTAGATTGGCGGTGGATTTGATTACGGCCGCCATTTTGAATCAGCAGCCACGAATGGCACTTGTTTTCAAGATCAAATAGGATTTATCAAATTCAGCATTTTGCCCGAATTTGTGCCTCTGTTGATGGATAAAGACTTGCTCCACAAGATTTTTGTATCATTACGTGGGATAAAACAAGGATTATACGCTAAAAGCTTTCAGGTAAATGACATACGTGAAAACCTTCCTCCCCTCGTTGAAGACGCCGTCGTAAACCTCAAACGTGACGCGAAAGACTTGTCACGTGACCTCCAGCGGTTAGAGGCTCGCGGTAAACTCGGATCTAAAACTCTCTTCTATTAGTCGCGTTTACGGCAAACGGCAAACATGAGTTTATATGACCTGACCACGTTCTTGCCTCTACTTGTCCTGTTTACTGTTCTTTATAACTACACGAAATCGGTAGATTCACGCCAGTTCACGGCTATTCTTCAGAAACGTTTTGAGCTGTTTTTATTTGCTCATTTCCTAATTTGAAAGGTTTTCAACTTGAATCTCACGTTTGCCGTTTGCCGTCTGCCGTTTGCCCTAAACGTGACTCGAAATCTCTGAACTGACTTTGCGATTTTTAGAGCTGTTGGATTTTTTTCGTATTTCCGAATTGAACCCGAACCTTTCTGACACATTATTCTTCTAAATATTTTGTTGCTAATAAACATTCATTGGATGAGGTTTCTGTGATATCCAAAATAATCAAGGTCGAGGTAGGGGTTATCAGCCGAAGCCGAAGGCTAAGGCTCATAACCCTTACCAAGACCTTGATTATTCTGGATATCACAAAACCGAATCTAATAACTATTTTTTTCGAGCTTTTTCTAGGCAGTATTTGCCACTTCGAACAATTATTTAGAGAAAAAATCGTTGCGGATGCCCCTTTAGAGTACCAATGCACACTGTAAAATGGACTGCAGATGGAAGAAATGGCTCTCGCCTTTGATGATATCCGCCTCCTGGTTAGCCTGCGTCACAAACGTAATCTAGACCCGGTGAGACTTAACCAGAAGTTTAGTTCCGTAAGTGGCGCAGGCTACCGAAATGACATCCTTGCCTGCACCTGTAGCAACAGAAGACAGGAGGCAGTTTCACTACCTCGTATTCTGAAGTAACAAAGCTGGGCCACTAATTTTGCAATTCAATTGAAGCGAAGACACGTTAGCTAGAATGTTAAAAATATGAGCAAATAGCTTGACATATAGTCCCTGTAAGGGACTGTGCAATAATTTTTTGCATTTCTCAACAGTTTTATTAAAAAATTTTTCCGTAAAATATTCATAAAAATAAAACTTCCACATCAATATTATATAAATACAGTTTTCCGGCTAAACCCCTTCACAATTCAGAATTCTAAGATACTAATTAAAAACTAAATATATGTCCACGATAGAAAACTATTTTACAATTGTGAATACTTTAAGAGTGGGAAAAGGAAAATCAAGCATTACTAAGAAAAAAACTATCAAAAATCTAGGCCTAAAATTATGAATGCAGATGTAGACCAGCTACAGCGAAAGTGAAGTCTTCTGAGACCTCATGTGATTTGAATGGATATCTAGAACCTCTGACGCATCTGTGTATAGTTCTTAATATAGAGAAATGAGAGCTGTATTCGAAGCCAGGAAATAACGCTGGCGTAGGGTTCATCGTTCTTAGTCGAAAGCTTATTTGCGAGAGTTCTTAAAAAGTTCTGACAGTCGAGTCCCATGCCCCCGTTTGTACCAAACAACAGTGGTGTAAAGGTTCCCATCTCTACATCCATCACTCTCTGGTTGTATTTCCTCTTGTTCTCGCTTTCTTGCTCTTTGAAGATCGTAGCTGTGTACTTGCCCTGGTTGGACCGGGAGTTAACATGCGTTACACGTACGTCAATTACCTGCAGGAGGGGTTGGGAAACGGGTGAAATATGCCCCAAAACTAAGTCATATCCCCCTCTCATTAAGCAAAAATTTATTTCGACCGCCCCCCCCTTCACATAATGATAATATTAAGGCTACCCCCCTTAAAAAATGTCTCCTTCCATCGATTCCCTCATATCTAGTATACTTGTTGAATTTCTTCCTCCGGAACAAACATCACTTCAAATGACTCTTTGACGTATGTCGAAGAGTCATTTGAAGAGTCATCAGAATCACTGGACTCTGAGCTTGTGTCGTCTTCGCATGAATTGGGAGATTACTCATCTTCTACAGATGAGGCACTAAGGTTCCCGCGTGCGTGGGTTAGAACTCAGGAATTCCTGTCTGATTGAGCTTTTTTGTTTGAAGCTCAATTCAATCATACTCTGTTTTATTTACCATACTTTAAATTTGTATCGCTAGTAAAATTTCAACAGTTGGGTTTTCAATTTTGTTACATTATGATGCCATATGTGCTAACATTGGTATCTTTCTTTTTCATTGAATGACATAACAGTGCTACTTTTGCAACTTTTAATTAAAGTGTCCTGTTTTATTAAATCCTAGTGCAAATAAATTAGCACTGTTTTAACATATATAACAGAGGCATTCCTTTCCTACTGCATGACAGATAGGAGAACAACAGTTCATAGATCAGAACACCTTAGAGTTGATAAATTGGTCAGTTTTATTCCAATGTTAGTATTTATATTTGACCTCTAAAAACTCTTCCACTACTTTGCCAGTTTGCAAAAAAGAATGAAAAAGTAATGCCCCCCCCCGTATGTATTAAATTTTACATCCAACCCCCCTCTCTCTTGTTGTCATTTTCTCCTATGCCCCCCCTCTAATTCCTCCCCCCCCCCTTCCAGGTAATTATTTCACAGTCCCTTAGACCTTGACTGGGAGTCGAACCCTGGCCTACGTCTATAAGCTCGGTACCTAACCAATATTTCGCTCAGTAGTTATAAGTTAATTTTTTTATTGGCAGGTTGATTGTTTTATTATTTGCAACAGGGAGATCCCGGCTTCGCTGTTCTGATAATGGCTAAAGCTTTTGAAGTTCAAGAAACCTATCCGCTGATAGTCCTAGGGCCTCACACTTCTAAGGAAGCTAGTGCAGTTTTACAGGTGGTGAATGTTTACAGAAAGCTTATGGTAAGTAACAGTCACAATAAAGAAATTCGTATTATAATATATAAACAGTAGTTACATGGACACAGTTTGATAACGCCTAGATTGTGTTCACAGTGCCCTATTTTTCCGTAAGATCGTCGAGATCGACCGCTTGACTTTGCGTTTCTTGGATGAGTGTCAAATCTACTAAAGGGGCAGGGGACGGTTTTTTTCTCGCCTCCCTTCCCCCACCACTGTAAACCCCGACGCCTCTTCGGTACATGTGAAATCAAGATGGCCGCCCGTACCGGAAATCGCTCGATCCTGACGATGTTACTAAAAAAATAGGGGACTATGAACTGAATTCGCCTTGATAGCCGTATGTTGACAAAAAGAATTTTTCGAGAGACCCAAATGCAATTTTATTTCCCGACCTAAACGAAAGCTGGTTGAGAATAACGATGATAATCATCATCATCATCATCATCATCATCGTCATCAAAGGGCCAATATAGTTACAGGCAGTTCGGGCTTAATGTGTGCCAATAACTGATCGCGGAGCCTACATTCCTGTAGAAACTGGAAACCTGTCGATGACGGAAAATTTGTTACACCCGTCTGAAAGTCCCCACGTCCGTCCTACAGACTGTAGGGGTAGGGCAGGAGAGACTCTGCAAGGGAAGGGACGGGGGAATCCAATAGATGCAGCTATTGACGTTCCACCTGCTTTTGTGCTATTTTGCCAAAACTGACTTATTTGATGAAGGACCGGGACTCCTTGAACACACAGCTAGAAAATCTACTTACCTTCAATATCCAGTAAAGCCAAAATCTCCAAGTGCCACAAAGTCAAAGAAGCGTTTGAGAATTGCTTAGTAGAATGGAACGCGTGACCAAACGTTTAAGAGATTAGTATCAGATGAAGCGCGTTAACTGGGCCAAAATATCCTTACCTACTCCTCAAAATGGCGTCGAAAACCGGGACAAGGTCAATTGCCAGTCAAGAATTTTGTAGTGTGCCGCGGTTTCTTTTTTTATAAATTTGTGCCCTGAATACCGCTTGAATGAAGTATGATGCGTCTGTTGACATGGACTTTCTCTACCCTTACCGAATTAAGAAATGGTAAACGTGCAGCACAAACCATGGAGTTATGGATGCACGCGGGAGGCTGCTATGCACGAAAGAAGCGTAAGAGTCGCCGAGTGCGACTCTAGCTTCTTGAGTGCTTAGCAAACCTCCCAAGTGCATCCATAACTCCATGTTGCACAGCTGTAACGTTTACCATTTCTTTTATAACATAATCAAAAGAGAAAAACATTATTTTCCATTTGCCTTCGGTTGAGTCATCGGTACGAGTTCATGTATGCTGCCATCTGCACGCGCGTAAACAAATCATGTTCTATGTTTTTCAAAACGCTTGCCTTTGAGTTTTTCTTTCGCTGAATCAACTGTTCTCCGTCTTCAGATAAATTGCAAAACGTTTTTCGTTGTTATTCTGAATGGCATCTGTCTACTTGCTCTTAATATTAGGGTAAAAACTTTAAGGGAAAACTATATATAGCTGCAACTATAAACACCAACTAAAAAGACCAAAAAAAAAAACTAAAACTAAATAAACGAAATAATTATCCAGCTTATTTATGTGACAATTTTTGAAATAAACGTAAAGTAGAAATGAAAAAATTGGACTGTAATTCCTTTAGAATGACGGGTAACACTAACTTTAAAAAGAAATTAGCTAGCTTTGTATCGAAATCTGTCTGGGGAAATCCAGCTATGAAAGTCAAACATGTCAAAGTTGCAACTGAAATTAGGGCCTGTTTACATGGAGTGGTGGATCCCGGTCTAGTGGGATTGGTTTCTTTTGTTTTCACGCTCTGGGGAACACAAAACAAAAGAAACCTACCCCACTAGACCGGGGTCCCCCACTCCATGTAAACAGGGTCTTAAACCTTCGCTCGCTCGATTTTCCTTCAGCCGATTCTAGCCGCGAGGAAAACAGTGATTAATTCATCCAGGGCAAATTTGTCGCTTGATCTTTTGTCTTTTTTCCCTCAAAATGACAGCTTGGTATTTTCTTCAACTTCCACTTTTCATCTGTGCATTTTATCGGTGTATTTTACAGTCAGGAGAGAAGAATTTGCCTGAATTTTACCGCGCTAGCTCAGTTTCTTGGCGTGAACCCACGGGCAAATGGTAGTGGCTATTAAACTGATCAATCAGCGAGCGATTTACTTTTGTTATGTTATAAAAAACTATATGGATATGAAAGAGTTATCGTTTCTTCTACCGACAGGCTCGGGGATCGTAACATTTCGAGATTATAAACTCTCTTCTCGAGGAAATAAAGTATTATCGTTTGTTTCACGATTCAAAACAATCTTCTCACTAAGGGTGGATTTTCACTGTCTCGTAACACGTGCGTACGCACGTATATTTTACGCGGGTAAATAGAATAGAAGCAATGTATGAAGTACCACGTACGTGTAAACGTAAAAGTTGAGCGAGTTTCAACAACTTTAAGGTTTACGCACGATCTTTCATACCTTGCCTCGAATTTGTTAACGCACGTCGTTTTTACGTGCCTAAACACGTAAAAATTACGCGAAAGTGGAAATCCTCCCTAAGAAGTCTAAGGCTTAATTTCCAGTGTCGCGTAATTTTTACGTTCGCAAATAAAATAGAGGCAATGCATGAAAAGTCGCTCGTAAACGCAAAACTTGAACCTCGCTCAACTTCTAGTTTAAGCTCAGTACTTTTTATGTTGCCTCTTTTTTTTTAGGTGATTGAAATTTACGTGGGTTGGCAAAAACGCCTCAGTGGTCGCCTGGTTACACGTCACGTTATATAAAACTTCCAGACCGTAACTTGCTACTTCTGATCGCCCCCAATCCCCCCCCCCCCCGAGTTATAGGCCTATCCACCTGTAAACAAAAACATACAACTCCTGATACGACAGATTATAAGCCCCCTCTCTCTCTCTGATTATAAGCCACCCGCCGACCTCGATGTTTTGACGCTTAGGGCGCTTTCCATTTGTCAGAACTGACCGGCCAGCCCATTTCCATCATAATGAGA